TTATTTACCCTGCTGTTATTAGTTTTTTCTTCAACAGAAACACATGCAGCAGTAGAGTAATTCCTTCCCTTCCTGCAAGGAGAAACTGCTCCAAGCGGCAGGATCAGGGCCAGGTGAGGAGGGGAGGCAGTGCTGGTGTGCAGCAATCGCAGCCGCGGGTCGGAGGAGAACTTTGCATCGAGATCCAGTGAATGCAATGGGAAACCCAGCGGTTAAAGCCCTCTGGCAAGAGAATCACCCCAAACAGGGGCTTTGCAACACAGGCTCGAGGTAAGAAGAAGGTGAAGGTGTTTGTGTATGTGCAAAGAGGGGCGAGATGTGCTGTGTGGAGGGCAGACCCCCGGCACTGCTGGGCTGCCCCTGGCCCACGTGCCTCCAGCGGGTTTAACAAGGCTGGAGCTGTGTCCTGGGGGTCCAGGAAGGGCTATTGGTGGGCTCAGCCCCAGCTCCAAAGCCCCCCTCTCAGGAGCAAGATCCCTGTGGCAATGCTGAGCTCGGGATTTGCCATTTGCGAATCTGCTGGGATGCAGCTGGGCTCTGTAGCCGGGTGGGCAAAGCTGGACCCAGCTCACCCCAAGCAGGGCAGGAGCTCAGGGAGGTGCAGGGCAGGGTGGGTTTTACCCCAATTACTCGTCTGCTCTCCTGGCCTGGGGGGTCAGTCCCCCTCTCCATTGGCACCTTCTTGCTGCCCAGCAGTCCCCCAGGTCGCAGGGATGCGGCCGCTGCTGCTCCCTGGTGCCTGCGGTAGCTGGGCTGAGGCTGGGAGCGGATGACAGTGTGCGATGCCCTGCTCCTTTATCACCGTATTTTTAGAAGCGGCTGATTTTGCTGTCTGCGTTCCCTGTATTGTTTAGCTTTGCTGCCCAGCACCTATTGCCAAAATTATGCAGAGCTCAACCAGAGCTGCTGTTGTGAAAATAAACACATCCTCCTGTGGGTGCGGGGGGAGCCGTGCCGGCAGGAGCTGCTGACAGCGGGCGTACAGCAGCGCTCAGGGATGGCGAGGCCAGCTCACATACAGGTTTCCAGCTCCACCAGTTGAACTGGGAAGAGGGTTCAGCTGGTGTGTGCGCAGAGGAGCTGGGGTTGATGCTGCTCCTCGTGGCATGCCCTGGGTGCAGCAAACCTCTCGCTCTTGGAAGGAAGGGTTCAGGACTCCATTTCCCTCCTCCAGAATGGCATTTCTGGACAAAAGAACAGTTTGAGAGGAAGGAGAGCAAGCGTTTCACCCTCTAAGGTCTGAGGGAGATCAGGGGACAATTCCCCCTGGCTCCATGACATGAGCAGGGCAGGTGGGATGGGGTCGCTGGTCTCTGAGCTGGTCCCTTGGGGGTTGCTCTGGTGTCTGGAAATCCCTGTGCTTCCCCCCAGGGCATGGGTGGCGTTTCCCCCTGCCCCCCGGCAGGTTTTACGCTGCTCTCTCGTTATACACTCCAGTGCAGCAGAGAGGGACCAAGGTTCAAACCTGGGGCTCAGCAGCACGGTCCTCATTGAAAGGAACTGGGCGAAGTTGGGCTTTGTGCGAATCGAGCCCTGCACGGAGTGTTTGTGCGAGGCAGCCAGCGCTGGAGTGCAGAAGCGATGCCCGTTACTGCTCAGAAATGAGAAAAGATGCTGTCAGGGCACAGCTGTGCAGAGGGATTTTTGCCGTGTTGGTCGATATTCCTTGGCTGTGGCACGTCCCAGAGGCTCCTAATGCCTGCAGATAAAATCCTTTGGAGCCCTGGAAGGGGGTTAGTCTCTTAATAACCCAGGGCAGAACGCAGATGCCTATTTCTAGCATGGGGAGCTTTGCTCAGGAAAGGTTTCAGCTGCTCTTCCCTGTCCCGTTCTTGTTCTGACCTGTTGTGGTTCTGGTCTGTCTGCCAGCGGCCGTCTAAAAGCTAAATACTGCATGGACTCAGGCTCCAATGGAGCTGCTGACATTTCCCCCCCAAAATAGCAATTTTAGAACTAAAATCGATGGCCAAGTGGTCTTCCTGTGGCAGTGGTGGGCTGGCCGGGGCTCAGGGGGTCCCTGCAGGTAGCGTTAGCCTGGGAGTGGCACTGGGGTTACTTTAAGGCAGAAAAGACCAGCTTAGGAACACCTAATATCCCAGCTTAGGCAGCTGCTAGAAACCAGTGCAGAAGAGACTGGCAAATATAGTACCATGGGAAGAGTCTCCCCTCTCCCTCTCCTCCGGGTGAATGTTTCATCCGCAGCATCGCACGTGGCAACGTGGACCTGGAAAAACACTGCCTGCGCCGATAAAATATCCATAAAACCATGGCCCAGTTCTGTAAAGCCAGGGTGAACTCTCAGCCCTTAATGTCTTTGTTAAACATGAAAAATGTTTCTGTTCCATGGAAGGCTGGACTGTCGGGAATGGATTCTGTTTGTGCTCTGGCCCAAGTGGCGTTGCTGTCCCCCCGGCTTTAGCAGGTGACACACGCTGGGTTTCTCCAGCGCAGGTATCCATGGGGCTGTCTCCAGCCGGTGCACTGCTCAGCCCTGGCCATGGGCTGTGCCCACCAGGACGGGTACTGTTCGTGCTCTTCAGTCTGATTTGGAGCTTGGGAAGATGGGTTTCAGAGTGGAAATGAAAAGTTGGTGGTTACTGCTGGAACCTCATGTTGGTTTTGTTCTAATTTTTTGCCCATGGTAAATGCTAGCGCTACAGGTATTTTTTATACAGTTTTCCATTTCGTCCATCAGTCTCAGTGTGGTGCGTGTCCTCGCAGCCTTCCCCCAGTCCTTCCCAGTGTTCCTGCAGCACTGTGGGCTGGCTGATGGGAGCTGTGGACCCTCGGCTGGTCCGAGCACAGGGCGCTGCTCCCAGCCTGCCCCATCCAGGGCTTTCCTTGGCTTTGATTTCGCAGCATCGCCGGGGAGCTGCCCTGAGCCCAGGTCTGTGAGCGGGTGAGATGATGCCTGACAGGGCAGAGCTGGATTCTGCTCTGGGGAGATACCCCATGCTGCCTTCCCCCCCAGCCCTGGGAGATACCGAATAACAGGGAGAGGAATCATTACCTTTTTTTTTCCTTTTTTTTTTTTGCTGCTAGACCTTAGTTATTGAAAGCAACATAAACCATGTGTCTTGGACAAATATTATGACATTTCATTATTCACACCAAGCGTGGTAAGTGAGCTGTTGTAGGGATCACGGTACATGATTTATTTGGCTTGGATGTGGGTATAAATCCCATCTTTGAAGGAAGCATTGTAGC